TGTATAAAAAGTCTAGCTAGGAGGGAGGGGCAAAAGTAGAAGATAGATAAGAATGGTGTGTTTATCTGATCTTAGATTGATGAGGGAATCTAAAAATATGGCTAAATTACACGTTTGGTCACTCAAATTGTACAAATCTTTCACGTTTGCCACCCGAATTACTTTTCTTTCTTATTTACCACTAACTTTACGAATCGTTACACGGTTGGTCACCGGCCGTTACACTCCGTTAAGTTTGTCCTACGTGGCAGTCAACTATAAAGTTTGACCGTTAACTAGATGACGTGGAAATTAAAAAAATAAAATAAAAAATAAAATTTTCTTAAAGAGGGACTATAAACCGTCGAGCGTCGCGCTCCACTCCTCGCTGCCGCCGCAACCAGCGCAGTTCCCCACTCCTCGCCGCCGCCACAACCAGCAACGAACAGCGCAGTTCCCCATTCCTGAAGAGTTTGGGAATTCCGTAACCCGCAACGAACAGCAGCAAACCCTTGGCGTCGATTTCACTAGCTTGGCGAACGCCACCTTCAATTACAAGCCTCTTTCTCCAGTTCATAGCAGCCTGAGCAGCCTCTTGTCTCACGCGTTCCTCTAGTTGAACTTCACCCTCACCCATCAACAGGAACAATTCCAGAGCCAGAACGCAGGCTTCTCTCCCTGAAACCATTGGAGAGTTTTTCGCGTAAGCTTTGCTTCCTTGGAGATAGAACCTCCCAATGCAATCCAACACCAGCCTGGCCGGTTGCGGAGCTGATTTAAGAGCCGATGGAACCTGTTCGCGAAGCTCCTAGACGTAGTCCAGGCGAGTGATGATATACTTTCGGAGACTTCTGTCGCACATCGTCTCGCAGAGATGCAGTAACTCGGAACTCGCCGGAGCAGCGCCATCGCCGTCAAGTTGACCATGTGGCTGCTGCTCGCGACTCTCGATCGCAGTCCGGATCAATTCGAGGTGCTTCTCCAATTCGTCGAACCTGCTCTTGAATTCTCGAATGGCGGAAGATAGATTGCACAATCCTTGTACTGATTCCAAGACCCGGGACCTGGTGGGCTGCTCGGGTTGCTGCGGTGGTAACGTAACAATTGGGAGGCCATTCAATTCGACCTGCTCGGATTTGACATGAGGGTTCGGAGGTTGCAATTGGCACTGCGGCGGTGATTCTGAAACGGATTCGAGCTTCACCGGAGCGACGGTTGATTTTCCAGGTGAGTGGCCGGTGGCCGGAGCGCTGGCATTAGAGACGGAAGGTTTCGCCATCGAAGGCGACCGAGGGAGAGTTGAGAAGGAAGAGGACGGCGAGCTTTTCCGGTCAACAGACGAATGAACGAGAGGAGAAAAGAGGGATCCATTTTTTTAATTTATTAAATTTTATTAAATATTAATATGATAAATTATATAGACAAAATAAGTGCAATGATGAGGTGGAAAGAAAATTTTATTTTTTATTTTATTTTTTTAATTTCCACGTCATCTAGTTAACGGTCAAACTTTATAGTTGACTGCCACGTAGGACAAACTTAACGGAGTGTAACGGCCGGTGACCAACGTGAAACGATTCGTAAAGTTAGTGGCGAATAAGAAGAAAAAGTAATTCGGGTGGCAAACGTGAAAGATTTGTATAATTTGAGTGACCAAACGTGTAATTTAGCCCTAAAAATATATACAAAAGGCTTTATATGAAGACCCTACCAAGATCTTCTTTCCCCCACTTTCTTTCATTTGCAGAACCTTAAATTAGTAACTCCTTTCCTTTTTTCCCCTTTGCTTTCCCACGTTTCCCCCTTTCTGGCCTCATATTTTGCACATCTTGATCGTATTTAATAAAGTCTTCTTTTACACCAACAAAGCTCTATATATGACCTGAATAACCAACACTACTAGAAGAAGTACTAATCTGATCACACAAGATCCAATAAACGATTCCTTATGATGGGAAGAATGTTAACAGGTAGCTCAGTGATTATATTCGCCTCGGAATTTAAGTCGGAGTTGATTGTCTATGGGCTCGAGTATACGATATGAAAAACAAAACACAAAACAAATCAATTTCTTCGTAAACCCTCTTGAGGCAAATACCTTTCAAACAAATATTAAAATATCTCTTGCTGAGCTTCTTGTAGCTCCAGATGCCATTTCTTTGGCGGTTTCTCGTTAGATTGCTAGAGTGGTGGTTGAAGGCGACTCGGAGTTTGTTATTCATCAACTCCAGATGAGTTTCTCCTTGGATGCCCTAGGTGGACCCGTGCTGCATGATTGTCGCCAACAGATCTCGACCATGCCCAATGGTATAGAGTTTAAAGTTGTTTCCAGGCTTGTCAATTGAGCTCCCTATAGAATGACACATAAAGCCCTTCCCTTGTCTTTAATAGAGTTGGGTGTCTTTTAATTTTGGCGCCTGATTATTGTTGTAATAGGTCTGGGTTGGGTTTTACAGAAAGTGAGGTGTTTTTTCGAATGGTTATTTCTTTTTTGACATTTCTCGAAGGGAACAATTAAAATATCGCTCAACAATGTAACGAACTAAGGGCCCGTTTAGTATTGTTGCTTGTTTTTGTTTCCTGTTGTGTTTTAAGAAATTTGGAAAACCAAGAAAAAAACGTGTTTAGTTGGGTTTTTATTTTTTGTTGTGAATCAGAGTTGCACAACAAGGCCCAAATATGAGAAACAACAATTTATAGCTTTGGATCTGATTCTTAAACATGTTGCACACGGGATTCCTACTGGTTGGACGCTTGATTTCATTAAAATAGACCAGTTTTCGAATCCCCACAGAAGCGAATTTTTTTTTTTTTTTTTAACACAGCCCCCCCCCCCCCAAACCCTACTTCCCCTTTTTCATCATCTTCTTCTTCTCGACAGAACACAGCCGACACCCATCTTCTTCTCCCAGCCTCCGCGCGGCGCGACCCCTCTGCCTCCGCCCAGCGCCGCTCCGCCTCCGGCTGCCGCAGCCCACGCCGCCTCGCCTCAGCCCGTGCCGCCTCGCCTCCACCCGCTGCAGCCCGCGCCGTCTCGCCTCCGCCCAGCGCCGCCTTGTCTCCACCCGCCGCAGCCGCATATCTCTTTTTCTGGTTTTTAGTTCTTATAGTAGTAACTAAACGCGTTTTTGTTTCTTGTTGTCAGCTTTCATGATTTTTCAGATTTATCAACTAAACAGGTTTGTGTTTTCTGTTTTTTTCCTGTTGTGGTTGTACATCTGTTTACACAACACCACTGCAAGCACAACAGCAACAAAATGATACTAAACGGGCCCTAACTAAAAATAACCCATTTTAGTTTGAGAAGTCCACTTCTAGTCCCCATATTGTTCGCACATTCGAAATATCTATGGGTTTCGAGCTTGTTATATTCTTCAACCATCGATCAAAGCTTGACTTTATGCTTTTGCTCAAAAACCCACTTCCCCCTTGCATATATATGGAAGACTTAAGGGAGGGGGTCCTCAATCATCATGATATTGGAATGGACGATTCTCTTTAAAAGGCAGAAGAGAAGATAGATAGAGAGATATAGAGGGAAAAGGTCGGTTGGATGGGTATGGCTTCCCCACGTCCTCCAACCATTCTTTGTTGCCAACTTTCCTTCTTCCTTTTCCTTTTCTATATCGTTTTATCTCATCCCTTTCTCTCTTTTATCTTCACACGAATTGTCAAAAGCCCCACTAGAAACCACAACCACTCTCATCTATGTGTGTATGTCTTTCGTCCTCGATTGCATAATAAACGCGTTCATATTCTTCTAGTTTCCATTGTAATTTTTTCAGCTTTGAATTTTCATTCTATATCGTTTCTCTCACAATTTGGATTTAGAATTTCATTTTTTGAAAGTCTGTAAGAGATTGGGTTCGATAGTATGAATTATGAATGTTATATATTTAATGGAATAACTCTCAAATTTAAGATGTATGTTGCGATGAATGTGCTACTCGAAGAGCAATCAGTAAAAGCGGAGATATGATACAAACATACTATGGAGTGCGGTCGTCGATAAAAGTTTAATGGATACGTGGAACAAGCCAAAGATTTGAGAAGAGGTATTTAGCCAATACATGTATTATTGAGAATAAGTCATTTTTTCATTTTATTTTGAGCCACGATATGTTGATAGGAAGAAAAAATATTTGAATTTTATGATTCATCCAAATTCTTAGGTCTTGAGATTTAAATAGTCAAAATGATTTATGAACGTATTAACTTAAGGTCATTGTTGAATATATGATATTGCAAAATAAATGATGCATTAGTATAGTTTTGTAACTATTGTGGTTGCAGTAAAGTTGCGACAACAGAGATACAACTACAATATGAAAATAGAAAATTGAAACTTGAAACTTGTTTAGTTGGCAATTTTGAGAAATCACGAAAGTTGTCAACAATTTTTTTAATACACATTTAGTTACTTGTTTAGATCCTGTTTAGTACCAATGTTTAGACAAAAGTAGAAAATAACGGGAGAAATAAATGAGTTATAAGAAAATTAAAGAAAATATATCAATATAATATTAGCAATAAGGTTTAAGAAATTAGTTATGGGGATATGGAGAGAGAGAAAATATGTAGAAAGTGAGTGTAGTGAGATTTGATCATACTCTCTTGAATGAAATTAATCCACAACTAGGGTCCCACAATAAACAACTAATAGACCCATTGAAATTTGAATGAAATTTCAACTAATTTTTGTTGTGTTGCCAACTCCTGTTACCACAACAACAAATGAAAATATAACCTAACATGTTTTTAACAAAAATTGTAAAACCCTGTCTGAGAGGGTATTGAAAAAGTTAGCGTTAGAATATTTGATACTAAACTCGTAGTTTAATCGTTTCAAACTACTAAAAACCACTTACTGATTTAGTTTTTAAGAAGGTTTTCTCGATCGAACCACCAGTATGGACGTATGGTTTATAAACAATTAAACACTAATTTTTAGTATATTTTTCACTTGTGAAAACATAAACAAACATAAACAAGAAATGGGATAGTGTGCCATTGACAACAGATCTTATAGCAAAAGTCAACAAGATAAACATTAGTGGTTACTTTGATAGGACAATTGTCCATCAACAATTCATCACACTGTTATTCTCAGAAACAAAAAAGTTCCATCGCTTCCTCTATTCTCTGCATATTCATAGAAAGGGTTGAATCGAAACTCGGAGCCAGCTTCCCACAGTCGGACCAAAAAGCCAGAAATGCTTGGACTTTCTTGCCAATTTTACACAACAAATGCCAAGCAGATAGACCTAGCTGCTTGAAATTTAGAGACAGGACAGCGTGCAAGCTCTATTTACTAAACAAATGTTAGTTGAGTACTACAATGACGATGAACAAAACCAAATAATTCAAACTCCTTTATACTTTGTGCTAACTGGAGCAGCGCCACCTGAGACTTTCTGATGCCTCTACATGAACTGAAGACTTTGAGGCAATAGTAATCCATGACTGTCATAGTTGCGTTTTTTCAACTCACAATCTCGATCAGTGTCATGGCGGCGAAGACAAGGAAAAGAATCCCACCAGTGTATGCAATGACCTGTCAAAAAGCACCAAAAGGTTCTTCCTTTTTCTCAGTCCATTAAAATATAATGACGGAAGTTGAATAAGAAGCTCATTCTGTAGATGCACGTGTAATTGTTGCTAGATTATTAGAAGCGTAAAGATCGACAACATGATATATTCCAGACCAGCAGCTTATGTTGCTATAGGGTGCGAATTCAGGCTGTCGTCCAATGAAGTCGTTTCCAGCTCTGGGGAATCTTACAAGAAGGTACAAATATACCAGGTGATCAGAAATTTCAAACATTATTGGTGGTGGTGATAGTAGGAAAATAGAGTACACTAAACGCAAGACATTTTGTGGTTGGGTTCTGTGTACTTGGTTCATGGTTCTTCCACTCACAATAACTATGGCAATTGGTCTTGATCTTGGTTTTCTTTTTCTTTTGGCTGAATAGAAAATCAGTATTCAAACGGCAAAGGACTGATGAGGGTTAGATGACAACTTCAATGGTTGAGAGTTAAGATGCTTGATGGCACCTTTGAGTTTTCCAATCAGGAACATTTTTTTGGGGACCAGGAAGGGGATCACATGTCAGTCGTTAAAAAGTCATAACATATTCTGGATTTTCACTTTTATTTGATATGAAATTCCAACCTATGAAACTGACATTTTATTTCAAGATATGCATATCAAAACGAGTTGGAGAGATTTAGAAAATTTATGTACCTTCTCTGATAGGAATGTTCCCAGTAAAGAACCTCCCAGGACAGCAATCTGAAAAAAGAACGAATTCATGAATCAACACAACTATGGCGTCCTAGACGTTCTGTAATGACTAATGGTATGAACTTGTGGTATCATATTCATATAGCAGTTCATGCGTATGTGTAATAGCCAGTGTGGGGGGTTTTGGTATGTGCAATGCAGATTTGCTTCAAGTGTTAATTACCAAGGTTGCAACACCATGACCAGCCAATGCTCCAGCAATGACACCAAGAGGTGAGGATGCAGCTGCAAGTGCTGGAAGAACAGAGCAAACGAACAAAATCAACTTTCAATGCCAAGGGAGAAGCATAAATCCTAAAATAATTACACAATTTTCAGCATTGGAACCAACCGATTGTGGAGAAAAATGATTTGTCACCCCATTCAGCAACAAAAACCAAAGCAAATGTGCTAATAATGGTATTGGCAGCGGATAAAATGCCTGCACCACTTCCTGAGAATTCTGAAACTGCTAGCTCCGCCTAGTTCAATGCAATAAGAAGAACAAGCAGTCACATTTTACTTTCATGCAGAGTTGCATAGCTAGCTAATGGAATCATGAAATATACGCCCACCTCCTTTTGCTCATCTTCAGATTTGAGGCTATCACTTGAAGAGGCATCTACTAGTGTTGATACCCCGAAGTAGACCTGCAACATACTCAAGTTAGCTTGAATGTTGTTTACTTCACAGACCATGAACTTTCCCACTTCAATCATAGCACACATTCTCAAAGAATGCACCTTTTAACACCCCCAAAACCATGACTCTTGACACTCACCAAAAGGCAAACTGCAGCAATGTCATCAATAGGCAAATCAGTGCCACCAAAACTGCAGATCCATATTTTCTGTTATTATTACATGTAAAAATGCAGAGGTGGGGGCAACGGTTTCAAGTCAGACTTCAAATTTCTTCTCACTAGAGTCTCAGAGTAAGTACCTGAATGGAAGGATCTCATCCACATAATGGAAAGTTCTTCCAAGTACAACGGATATGACAGTCATTATACTGTTGACAACAACATAGGAAGCAGCGGTAAGATAGATGCACATACGAGTCACCATCTTAATATGTTACTTTAATATCCAGTCAGATGCTTGCATGTTAATACAAACAGAGCTTCCATAATTGCTCCACAATAGCTTAGTTGTGTATGCAACAGATACGTACAACTATGAGCATTTTGAGAGTACATAAAACATCTGAGAGGAAGAACATACCCAAGGGCGCCAAAGGTCCCTGCAAATACAACAACAGCAGAATTCCTAGCCGCTAAAAGTGCCTGCAAGCAAGACCGAACAACTCAGCATCACCTTAAATTCAGAAATTAAGGACACCACTGGGACAATGAGTGACTCTGGTGAACCTAGAAATGAAGAAGGTAAATGCAAGCTGGCTTGCACAGACTTGTTTTGCAATAAGTTGAATAAAGCAACAGTTTCAGGATGCATTCACAGACAAAGAAAGAGTTCTCCTGCTGGGTAGGTCTTTACCGCAATGAAAAAGGTTTTGTCACCCAACTCCGAGAAAAATATCAGCAAGAATGCCTGCAATGCAACAATTCAGAATTAGAAGCTCTTTCATATTTTTATTCCCAAATTGAAGCCCGTCAAAATGCCACAGTGATCTCCAATTACAAATTGATGCTAAACATAACAAATGGAACCCCTCATCAACAACAAAACCCTTAAACGCTATGCGTCAATATGACATTGTAGAGAGGATTTCATAACCATGCAGCATTTGAGTATTAAAAGGTGTCACACAAAAGAAGAAAATTTTGGTAGTGACGTTGGAGTCAGGAACTCGTAAACAGAAATGTCACTTATGGTTAAGATAAGATTTTTCGAACAATGGACGATCAAATCATAGAAGGAACAAGGAGATTTTCCTAACTGAGGCAAAACCTGTGCTAATGTCACCAAGGTCTCCAAGATAGGGAATGGATTGCAACCCACTGCTTGAGAGCTCCATTACAGCCGCAGACGCTTGATCAGAGCCCTGGAACATTAGACACCCAGAGAGGAACATTAACAGTTTCATTGATCCCTCGTGTAATGTAGCAGAATCCAAGGCGCCAAATTCTTGCAATGAAGTTCTCTTCTCAATGCCGTCCATAATTCGATCCATTTCTCCTTGCCCCTGGCGGTTGTTAGCGCCATTGTCAGCTCCCTGTGACCAATTGCAACATATCCTCATAAACGAATGACTACCACCTAATTGATAAACAATTCACGGTGAAAGGGACGAGAGAGGGAGAGAAGGATTACAGGATTGTGATAATTGCTGTCATAAACCATGGGAAGTAGCCCTGTCAGTGCTTTCTGAAACGGCTCATTGAGCCATTTTGTCGAACACCTGATAAGTAGTATCACAATTACGAAATTGGTTGCCGTTTTCCAATCACATTTTGACAAAACTACCACAACAATGAGCAGCAGGGAATTCAATTAAGTTACCTGGAGAGAAGGCGGGAGGAGGATGAGGAAGGACTGGTTTTCCTGGGAAGAAGAGGTCTGAGAGGGAGCAACTGGCCATTGAGAGGCTTGCCGTTGAGAACACATGGCGATGGCGGCAATGAACACTGTGGGATGAAACGCCCTTCTGAGATCGCCACGCTTCCCATTCTCTCACTCTCGCCAACTCCTTCCTCTCCAGGGTTTTAACTGGACTGTCTCAAAGCTGCTGGCTTTTCAGTTTTTCCGTTCCTTTTACCCTGAAGCAGGTAGTGGGTTGGTCTCTGTATCTGTGTGGTGGGAAAAATGAATTGATATGCTTCGCGAGATTGCCTTGTTGGCGTCCGACTGGTGGTGGATAAGGTTTTCTGTTTGATCCCGCCAATACCATTTGAGCAGTATTTTCTAATATTACAGTTCAGTCCTACCCAACTTTTCTTTTTTTCTATTTCACTCCTAAATTTTGTGCGTGACTGATGAACTGTCTGGATTACGAAATGGAGAGCGACAAACGATTTAATTGAATCATGGAAACAACAAGATTAAAGCTATCTCGGAGAAAGTTGAGCAACTAGGTAGCTGGACGAGGTTGTTAATGTTGATCAATCTATGATGTTGTGAATCTGCCAGGTCTTCTTCGTAATATACACATACTAAAGTATTAGGAATATACAAGGTTGTCAACCCGCGGGTTGATTCGGACCCGTGAAGCTAGTGGGTCAAGGGTTAATGGGTCACCCGATTTAGCTCGATTTAGTCCGAAAATATTGAAAGAGTCATTATATTATGACAAAATTCATCTGTGTAGCCAAAACTTTGACGTTTGTGACAATAATAGCCACTTTTGGAGAAATACCAAAAATAGCCAGAATTTTGAAAGTTTGATGACAAATATAGCCATTTTCGTTACAAACTTTAACGGTGAAACTCTGTCAGATAGGTTAACGTTAGGCTGACTAGGATGCCAAATCATCGCACACATTAGCGACAACTCAGCTGTTGGTGACACGTAGATGCCACGTGTTATTTTAATTTAAAATTAATGAAATAAATAATTAAAGAAATAAAATAATAAATTTTTTTATTCTTTTGATCTTCTCGCCTATCTTAATCTCCTCTCTCATCATGAAGAAATAAAACAATTAAAGAAATAAAACAATTAAAGTCTCTCGTCTCTCTTAATCTCCTCCTGCATCTTCTTCCAATCTTCTTTGTTGCCCTGGCATGGCCCTCTCCGCTCACATCTTCCTCATCCTCACCACTGGCTCCAGGTACGACGGCTATAGACAGCAACGACGGAGATCGGCAAGATCCCGAACAAGGAGTGTCATCCTGGATCTCTCTTCTTCAACTCTCCCTCACCGTCATGCCCGACGGTGCCGCATTCGCCGAGCTCTGTGGTGTCAATTAAACGCATCCGAGGCGAGATCCAGACCATCGAAGGAGGAGGCGGTATTCACGCTTATCGCGTCGTAGCTGCTGCTACTCTGTTTTGCGGTGGCGATTAAGAGGAGGCGGAGGAGTGGGGACAAGTTGTCGTCGCCGGAGAAGGCGAGCGTTCTGCTCGACGACGCCTTGTTGCAGATAGACCAGTTGGAGAGTGAGCTGGAGGAGAAAGTGAGAAGGGTGCAAGGGATCCGGGAAGACAAAGAGCGGGGAGGAGAGCTGTATACGCTGATCAATCAATTTCCAGATCCCTAATCCCGAACTTTCAAGACCTCCGCCTCATATCCAATTCCTAGAATTTTGTGGATCTAGATTTGGGGAAAAGGAAGGGGAGAGACTGGAAGAGAGGGGATTTTTTCTCTCTGGGAACGAGAAGGGAAGATAGAATAAAGAGTCAAAAAGTCAAAATACCCATTTTCCAAAATTTTAATTTTTAACTTTTTAGTTCATCCACGTGGATTTGTTACCAAATAGAGAGTGACCAGCTCAGCCTTCCGTTAGTCCAGCTCAACCCGTTACTTGACATCGTCAAAGAATTGGACGGAAGTGGCTATTTTTGGTATTTCGCCAAAAGTGGCTATATTTGACCAAATCGTCAAAGTTTTGGCTACACAGGTGTATTTTGCCTTATATTATACTTATCCTGATAAATTATATAAAATCTCATCTAACATATGAGTTATAACATATAATACTACTCTAAAATAACATGACGTACTTAGATCCAACATATAGTAAAAATTCACACACAATTATATAACACCAATATTCAAATGTTCAACTTAGGATTCCAAAGATTGAGTTAGGCGAAAACAAAAATCAAAAAATAGACGCATTTCGCAAACTAAAGAAAAAAATGACACAATTTGACTTCTAATCTGATACCTTGTAGCGGTCAACCCGGTGAGTACGTGCAATCCGTTTTTCTTACCGGGTCTTGGTCAAAGTGGGTCGACCTGGTTGACAACCTTGGGAATGTAAACAACTTAAACATAAAGATTTGTTACCACTATGCACTGAAGCAATATTTTACAATTTTAGTGCTGAGTTCGTACAAAATCAAAAGTTAGTGTACAATTTGATAGCGAACCTAAAAATTTGGTGATCATTTCTACTAAATAAAGATTTGATGACTGTTTCTGTAAGTTTTTCGGTCTTCAACCAAAGTCGGGCGCTGGGGAGCGAAAACTACTGGGCGACTATTACCCATCGACAGCCGCCCGCATCCCCGACGCCGCCATTAGCGATTACATCAGTCTATCTTGAAACTTCTAGATTACATCAACCAAATGGAAATCTGCCGCCCGCTCGAGAAATCGCAGCCGGAGCTTCAATCGCCGTTGAATTCCTTTCCTTCCTTCCCCACGTCGGCTCAAACATCTGTTCCACTCCACTCGTCCACGTCCAGGGGCCTGGCATTGCTCACCACCATGGAAATGGAATTACTCCTGCTACGAGCACTTGAGCGAACACTTGGGATTGTGACGAAACCGCATTGTCGGAATGGAGGGCGATCGAGTCACATTCCTGACGGGGCCCTCCTACAGCGATTGCCCTCGCACTTCCATGGTAGGGAAATCTAGGGGTTTTCCCAATCTTTGATTATTGTTTGATTCGTGGGTAATCATTCGCTGAATCAGTGAATTCCAGGTTCCAAAAGGCTACGTCTGGATTCAGGGACACAATGCATATGCTTCTGCTTCTGCTGATTCCAGATTTCTTGGTGTTTTCCCTATGGTTTGTTTGATTCAGTGGGGAACATTTCCAATGGTGACCATTCTCTTCCCCTCTTATACAATCTTCTCACTTGATTTCTACTTCTGGAACAAAACTTACTGCTTGGAACTGAGTGTGTGATTGAACTTAGAGGAATCCAATTCATATGGCTAATTAGGTGCAAATGGCTTTAGCCGTGAGATGATGTATCAGATGGTTTTATGGTTTCTACCCAAAAAAAAGTTTTATGGTAGGCTTTATTCTGGAATTCTTTATTTCTATCTTACAATGCTTAATTGTACATCTCCCAAGGTCAGTGTGCAATCCCAAAGGTAATCGTCCATTTTCCACCGTCACCGTGGAAGTCTCCGTAAGAATCTTCTACTTCTGATTAAGACTGCTTTTTTCTTTTGTTTCGACAACGTAGGACCGTGGACTTTATTAGCAGTGATAAACGTGGTCTGATATTTAAATGCAGATGCAGGATTGCAATGTGTAACCACTCGAACCTACATAGTAATGAGGAACAAGCAAAGAGAAAAATAAATTAAAAAGACATGCAACCTGAACCAGGTAGGAAGAGCACGCAGCAGGTCAGTGGGAAAAGAGAACATTATGGCCAATTATAATTTTGATGAAGGAAAATAGTTGGTCTGGTAGGAAGAATGAATAATGTTGTATTGAGTTTTTTTTTCTTTTTTGGGTGTTATTCTGCATGCTTTCCTTGCTCTTGATATTGCCATAGTCAAGGAACAGTTAAATTCCAAAATATCTTCTTTTGATATCTGCCCAACAAGAACTGCATTTATGTTATCCCTTCATCAATAAAACTTCTGTTGAACAACATGAACTCATGATCTCAGGTTGGCCTTTTGGAACATCCTGCAGTTCTTACTAGTTCAAAATAAAAATAAAAAATTCATTTGGTTAGATAGATTTGTGATGAAGGAGGAAGGGCTCTGGACTATGTTCTGCAGAGCTTCATTATATTCAAATGGCTATGAAAAGGAATACGGGTCTTGGCGTGTTCACATATTCGATCCAGATTCGTGTCTCAACCACGTCTTCATACTTTGCATAGACCTCCTGCTACTGCTGATCACCTTTTGCATCTTCATCTACAAGAAATCAGCAGCAAGCTGCAAGTTCACAGTGGAACCACTACCACAAAGCTTCTCCAAACTGATGATTTCGTCGGCCATTTTCAACAGCTTTCTGAGCATGCTTTATTTTGGGGTCGGCATATGGGGAGTCTCCAACGATGTTCTACCGTTACAAGGATGGATTGTGGTGCTTCTCCAAGGATCGGCTCTGTTGGTGCTGAATCTGTATGTAAGCCTGAATCATAATAGAAAGCAAACCCATTGGGAAATTGCAGTGGTGAAGCTGTGTTCAGCTTTGGATTTCTGTCTCTCTGCCTTCCTATGTTTTACCTATCTTTGGCAAGCCATAATCGCGGAGAAGAAACTAGTGTCAGTTAAAATGGTTATCGACATCTTGTCTCTTCCAGGGGCAATTCTACTGCTGTTATGTGCCTTTCGAGGAAGAAAGATCAATGCAGGAAATTATCCAAACGCCAACTCTGAACCCTACTACTATGCACCTTTGCTTGGTGAAGAAGCTATGGCCTCAGATGATGACGGTGATGACAAGGTAAACCCTTTTGCCAAAGCTGGATTCTTCAGCAAGCTATCATTCTGGTGGTTGAATCCATTGATGAAGAAGGGGAAAGAGAAAGTTCTTGAAGATGAGGACATCCCACATATGAGGGAGGAAGATCAGGCCAGAACATGCTACTTAATGTACTTGGAGAGATTAAATAAGTGGAAATCTGCCAAAAAAGGATCACCTGACGAGCCAGCACCTGCATTATGGTCAACACTACTCTCTTGCTACAAGAAGGAGATTCTGCTATCTGGGTTTTTCGCATTGCTCAAGCTACTCACTCTATGCGCCGGCCCTTTTCTCCTCAAAGCTTTCATTGATGTTGCTGAGCATAAAGTAGCTTTTGAATATGAGGGCTATGTACTCACATTAACACTTCTCTCAGCAAAATGCATTGAATCATTCTCAGAGAGGCAATATCATTTCCAAACGAGGTTAGTTGGTGTCCGAGTGAGGTCTCTATTATCTGCAGCCATCTACCAGAAGCAACTAGTCCTTTCAAATGCTGCTAAGCTCACTCATTCCCCTGGGGAAATTATGAGCTACGTCACCATAGATGCATATAAAATAGGAGAGTTTGCTTACTGGTTTCATCAGATATGGACCACCGGCCTCCAGCTATGCCTTGCATTGCTCATTATCTACTTTTCCATTGGGATGGCAACCATAGCAGCTCTGATCACCATTATAGTAACAGTGATTGGGAGTTCTCCTTTGACTACATCACAGCTTACTAATCAAACAAGACTCACACAGCAGCAAGACCGGAGGCTGAAAGCAATAACTGAGGCACTTGTTAACATGAAGGTGTTGAAGTTGTATGCTTGGGAGAATCATTTTATGGAAATGATAGAGAAAGTTAGAAAAGAAGAGCTTGTGTCAATTTCTAAGCTTCTGTTCCGAAGAGGGTGTCTCATGATGCTGTTCGGGTCATCTCCGGTCATAGTGTCAGTGATCACATTCTGGGCATGCTACTTGCTCAGTATTCCCCTCAATGCTAGCAATGTTTTCACATTTTTGGCAACATTAAGAATCGTTCAGGAACCAGTAAGAATGTTGCCTGAGGTAGCTACTATATTCATAGAAGCTAAAGTTTCGTTGGACCGAATAGGAAAGTTTCTCCAGGCGCCTGAGTTGCAGCACAATAGAATTAGGCAGAAGAGCAACAGCGGCTTTCAGGAAGCTGTTGAGGTTCCTATCTTCATCCAATCTACTGAAATTTCATGGAGCAGAGAGGCTACTTCATCTAAGGCTACATTGAGGAACATAAACTTGACAGTGAAACCGAGAGAAAAGGTGGCCATTTGTGGAGAGGTTGGCTCAGGGAAATCGACACTATTGGCTGCAGTTCTTGGAGAAGTTCCGTTAATTAATGGCACAGTCAGTGTTTACGGAAGAATAGCATATGTTTCTCAAACGGCATGGATTCAAACGGCAACAATAAGAGATAACATATTGTTTGGGTCTTCTATGGACCCAGTTAGATATTGGGAGGTGGTTGAGAGGTGTTCCCTGGTAAAAGACCTGGAATTGCTACCAAATGGGGACTCTACTGAAATTGGGGAAAGAGGAGTCAACCTTAGTGGAGGCCAGAAGCAAAGGATCCAACTTGCTAGAGCTTTATATCAGAATGCAGATGTTTACTTGTTGGATGATCCCTTCAGTGCTGTTGATGCACATACTGCAACCAGTCTATTCAATGTAATCAATCCACTTATCCCTTAGCATATTCTCGGTCTCTCTCTTAGAAACTAACTCGATTCAGGTGGCAGGAATATGTGATGGGAGCTTTATCGGAGAAGACGGTTTTACTTGTGACCCATCAAGTTGACTTCCTTCCAACATTCAACTTGATTCTGGTAATGAGCTTCCTTCTGAAACTTGGTTTTCTTTTCTTTACTCTCAACTGTTTCTCATTTGGTTCATTTTTGCAGCTGATGTCTTCCGGTGAAATCTTGAAAACCGGCACTTTTGACCAGATGCTGGAATCCTGTCAAGAGTTTAATGAACTGGTCAATGCTCACAAGAATACAACTGAAGGGGGAAAAGTACACATTGGATCCATTGGAGAGTCTACAACTGATGCTTCCACCACAGAGATAAAGGAGATTTATAGGAGAGATCACAATTTAGCAGCAGCGGCAGCCTCAGGAGATCATCAGTTGATAAAGAAAGAAGAAAAGGAAACAGGAGACACAGGGTTCAAGCCTTACATGGATTATTTGAGCAAGAATAAGGGGTTCTTCTTCTGTTTCTTGACTGTCCTGTTCTATTTCTTGTTCGTGGTTGGCCAATTGGCCCAGAACTACCTATTAGCTACAGGCATTCAGAACCCGGGAGTGAGTAGAGTAACACTGTTCACTCTATACGGTGTAATTGGATGTGCATTGCCATTTTTCATGTTCTTAAGGATCTTTTCCTTAGTTAGACTTGGTTGTGGCGCATCAGAAGCGATCTTTTCCAAGCTCATAATATCCCTATTCCGAGCACCAATGTCCTTCTATGACTCCACTCCTCTAGGAAGAATTCTTAGCCGGGTAAGCATTCATAGGCCTTGAATTTAAAAAGTTGTTCGAAGTTCATCCATGACACTGAACATTTCTTCCTTGGTCAACAGGTTTCTTCTGATTTGAGCATCATAGACCTTGAGGTAGCATCTAAGTTAGCAGTATCACTGGGATCGACTCTGAATGCATACACTAGCTTAGCCCTATTAGCCATTCTGGCATGGCCTGTCTTGTTTATTATCACACCCATTCTTTATCTCATCATGATCTTACAGGTACTTGCTATGAACTTCGTTACTCAATTTATTGATATCTTATATATTGGCCCTTCTTGTTCCGCAAGCCATCTTTCTTTATACAGAACCCTTATCTTGGTTTGCATTTGTTATCCACAAAGAGATACTACTTCAATACGGCGAAAGAGTTGATGAGGATCAATGGGACGACAAAGTCAAGTTTGTTGAACCATTTTGCTGAATCCATTTCTGGAGCCATGACTATCAGAGCCTTCGAGGAGGAAGAAAGATTCTTCTCCAAGAACCTGGTACTCATTGACAACAATGCAACCACCTACTTCCACAACTTCTCAGCGAGCCAGTGGTTGATCCAACGTCTGGAGATCCCTTGTGCAATTGTGCTCTCGACTTCAGCACTTGTGATGACTTGTCTTCCTCTGGGTGCTTCTACTTCAGGTAAATACAAAAAAACAAAAAACCCATCAGAATAAGTACTTGTCCATCCCAAAAATCCTAAAGGTGAAATGATCTGAATGTTTGTTCACATTTTGCAGGGTTTGTCGGAATGGCACTTTCATATGGTCTATCACTAAATGTGTTCCTCATAATATCAGTTCAGTACCAGTGCTTCATAGCAGAATCAATCATCTCAGTAGAAAGGCTAGAACAGTATATGCATATCCCTAGTGAAGCTCCACAAGTGATTGAGAGTGTAAGGCCTCCAGCCAACTGGCCAAGTCATGGCCAAGTGGAGATCTATAACTTAAAGGTGAGGTATCAGAAGAACAGTCCACTTGTTTTACACGGGATAAGCTGCAGGATTGAAGGAGGAGATAAGATTGGTGTTGTGGGAAGGACTGGGAGTGGCAAGACAACTCTAATCAGTACCTTGTTTAGGCTGGTGGAGCCCACAGAAGGAAGGATCATAATAGATGGGATTGATATCTCCACAATAGGACTCCATGACCTGAGATCACACTTAGGAATCATCCCACAAGATCCAACTCTCTTCTGTGGCACTGTGAGGTACAATCTTGACCCTTTGTCTCAGCATACTGACCTAGAAATATGGGAGGTTCTGGAGAAATGCCAGCTGCGGGAAGCCATTCAACAGAAGGAAGGAGGCTTGGACACATCAGGTAATGGAATAGCTATATTGTTAAGCATTTCCAAATGAATTCATTCGTCTTAACTCCTAACAAAGAAGACCCGTCTACTCAATTTGATCCTTTTGTGGTAGACTCGTTAGTATTGCACATCATATAGTGAAATCAAATATATGAAATGTAGGATAACTTGTACCAAAAGTTACTAAAATTAGTGACTGTTTCCAGAGTTGGTACTTCAGAAGGATCAAAAATTGTGTTGTGCTGCCAACATTGAAATTGGTGTTGCATTCAGTTGCAGAAGATGGATCAAACTGGAGCATGGGGCAGAGGCAGCTATTCTGTCTAGGGAGAGCACTGCTGAAGCGAAGCAAGATTTTGGTGCTGGACGAAGCAACAGCTTCCATTGACAATACAACGGATGCGATCCTTCAGAGGATCATTAGAACAGAATTTGCAGAGTGCACTGTCATCACTGTGGCCCATAGGATCCCTACTGTCATGGATAGTACCAGGATTCTTGCCATCGCAGACGGTAGGTTACCAATAGTACGTAAACTCAGCGTTGTTCCAACTCCGTCCTCCTAAAATCCTGAACGGTTGTTGTGGGTGTGTTACAGGGAAGTTGGCAGAGTATGATGAACCGGGTAATCTGATGAAAGAGGAAGGGTCTCTCTTTCGCCAGCTCGTGCACGAGTACTGGTCTCGATCTACAAACAACTAATGCAAAAAAAAAAAAAAAGAGGAGTGAGTGCTTAACTTAACCATGAGTTTCTGGTAGGTCTACAAATCAAGTACTGTATAATAGAAAGTCAGAACATTCTAAACCAGTTTTCACTATATAACTCAATTCATGCTAGCTATTCATATAAGCAAATGTTACATTGGCCTCTTTCTTTTTTGCTCTATATTTACTCTAGATTTTTATATGAATATGCACATAAGACTGTTGTGCTTGTGGCAAAATGAATCAATGATACTACTTGGGGGAATTACTCAATCTAAATGAAATGTGTAACTGTGAATAAGAAACCTGTCACTAAATACTTGTCAGTTTTCAACTGCTACAGTAGTCCTTGGCTTTTGACTTCCCATTTTAATATTTGTTTCTTCACTTTGGCTTGCGAATCTAATTGTAATTTGACATTTTCTTGATAAAATGCTCTACAAGAGAAAGAAGGACCGAAATGTTAACAAAGTGTTCCTAAATGGGACTGAATTGTACTGAACTCAAATCTCCAAGAGTGACGTCATCGAACGGTGGGGAGGGACGGGTTGCATATACCAGGGATCTACTCCGTGCTCCATAGGATTCCTTCAACTCCCCACCAAAAATTCTCGAATTTCAAGAAATCTACTTTCTTTCTTAACAGCTTTATAGCCGTTTCCTTCAGAGAGAGAGGGAGGGAAAAAGTCAAAAAACAGAAAACCCAAACAAGGGTAAAGCTTTATAGCCGTTGCACTCCAAATCCACTGCCAATCCCCAGTCCTTTCTCTCTCTAAGGAAAGTGGGAAAAGTCGGCTTGCGTCCAAATCTCTTCATCTGAAAGCTCCGCAAGAAGCTCCGTCAAAATGAAGGGAATGAAAGGGAAACTCGCGAAGAAGCTCAAATCCATCAAACCAGTTGTGTACCTCAAGCAGCCTGGCCGCATTCTTCAGCCGATTTCAGGGGACGAGTTCCGATCAGTTTCGGAGAATCAGTGGGTCGAACCTCCGAATCAGACTCTGCCCACAATAAAGGAGGGCGGGATCGGACTTGGAGAGGCAGATATTGATAAAGATGGGATGGAGCTTGATGATTCGGGTGATGATGATTTCGTTGAAGATAAGGAGAACTTCGGGCGGCCGCCCGTGAAGGCTCTGTTTCCGGGTGGCAGTGGCAACCACCACGACGGGGAGATTTTTGGCGAAAATGAAGAAACTTCGGGCTCATTCAAGCTTATGCCGTTGTCGGAGATTGACATCTCGTCTTTCCGTCCACCGGACTTGAATTCCAGTACGCTCTTCGATCCAAACCTTCTGGCTGCGTTCAAGATGGCAGTGAAGGAGTTTATGCAGCGGATTGAGGAAGAAAGAAGAGTGAGAATTGTGAGCAGAGAAGACTGCGTAAAAGAGCAAGCAAGTAGTCTGAAACAGAGCATCAAAGAAACAGAGCAGGGAGAAAGTGAATCAGAGCCTCCTCTAAAATTCTGCCGAATTGAGGAAGAAATTGAAGAAGAAGGGGGCAACCCGTTACTGAACTTTGAAGAGAGATGCCCGCCGGGCGGAATAGACAGAGTGATTTTCTACTCGACGACATTGAGAGGGATAAGGAAGACATTCGAGGACTGCAATGGCGTCCGGTTTCTCTTACAGAGCCTTCGAGTTCGCTACCACGAGAGGGATGTGTCGATGCACAAGGAGTACAGGGAAGAGCTCTGGGAGGTCCTGGAAGGTAAAGTGATGCCGCCCCGACTTTTCGTCAAGGGAAGGTACATTGGTGGAGCTGAAGAAGTTTTGGGTTTGAACGAACAAGGGAAGTTCAGGGTGCTCTTTGAAGGGCTTCCACCAGTTGATAGCTCAACTGAGCCTTGTGAAGCTTGCAATGGAGTTTGTTTCGTGCTCTGTTTCAATTGCAGTGGTAGCCATCGAATCTCTACCCCTGATGGGTTGTGGAGTGAATGCCTCTACTGCAATGAGAATGGCCTCATAATCTGTAGTCATTGTTGCTGTTGATTATGATATGTGGCATTTGTTGTGTTTCATTTCTTCAGGCATTTGGGATGTATGATTGATTATCCTCTTTGTTCTCTTCTTCTTCTCCTTCATCTTCTTTCCATTGTGAAAAAAGATGGAATCTTTTTGGGAAAGAAGTACAACGTTTGTAGATTGGAATTGGTTCTTTTTTGTTCTACCAACATATTTATTTTGTAAAACTCAATTTTACAAGGAAAATACACATTCTTCAGCTAGCTTGCGGTTTCTCCTTGCCCTTTTCTGGACAGATCGCCAATGAATATCATTAACAAGCATTCATTATATGAAGGCAAAATACACTTGTGTAGCCAAAACTTTGACGGTTTGGCCAAATTAAAAAAGTGATGGAAACTTGAAGATTTTAAATGGCACCGATGACCAAATTGCTGCCGTGAACCCCCCCCGTCCAAGGAGTTACAGGTAAAACAAGTGCCATTTTACTAGATTCCGGCAATTTTATTCTCCAGAAGCTGAATCCGGATGGGACAGTGAAGCGGGAGATGTGGCAGAGCTTCGATTATGCAATGGATACCCTTCTCCTGGGGATGAAATTGGGAGTCGAACTCAGATTTTCTGAATTATTTGCCAACAATCGGTCGAGATCCTCAATCACCGAATGGGTCGTCGTCTTCAAGAGGAGCGCTCGTAGATCTGAATCATCCAAGATTTGGAGACATCAATTTAGGAATTTGGGGGTTTCTCTTTGCACCAACACTCTCTAACAGTCGTCGTCGACCTTCAGCTTGTGCTCGAGTATACTCCCAAAGCCGAGGCCAAAGCAGCAGAGGAGATGAGATGGGAGAAGGAGATATAGAGAGACGGAGAGGGAAATCGCTGCAGTGATTGAGGGGACAGCGGCGGTGGCGGATTTAGTGACAGAATAGTCAGGATCTGGACGAGGAAGGCTTGCCGGGGACAGAAGTTGTGGGAAAGAGCTGGGTTTTGAAATGACATTCTGGGTTTCTCCATGGAGCTTTTGGCTATGGTGGTTCTGCCTTTGGCTTGGAAGTTGGAATCAGAGAGAGGGTGGGAGAGAGACGCTTGGAGAGAGAGAGAGAGGATGGAGAAAATAATCAAAAGACTGAACATAATTTTTTATTTCAAAATTAATTATTTTTATAATTCAAAATGACATGTCAATCATATGCTGACCTGTCGCTGATGTGTGTGATGATTTGGCATCCCAATCAGCTTAAAGTTAACGTAACTGACGGTGTTACTGACGGTGTTAAAATATGTAACGGAAATGGCTATATTTGTCATGAAACTTTTAAAATTTTGGCTATATTTGGTATTTCGCCAAAAGTGTCTATTATTGTCACAAACGTCAAAATTATTGCTACACAGATGAATTTTGCCTTATATGAAGAGAAGTTTTAGCTTCCTTGACACTAAACTGTACTTATTACATTATATACGAAAAGGCCACCAAATCGGTGACCAGGAATCCAGTACAGGAGATTAAATGTAAAGGCAACCTGCATCACATGGCTGCATAAAAAGAAAACATATCAAAACTATTACCAAAAAGCCAGCAGGATGCTGAGAACAAAGAGCAGCGAATCGCAGCTACAATGACACTGAGTCAGCGACTCATCCATTGTGTTCTCCAGTATACAAAATTCTATCAGTACTCCTGAAACTAGACTAATCAAAACCAGAGCTTGTGCTGAAAAGCTGCTGCTGCTGCTGCCACTGGAAAACTCTCTAGATAGGCCTCCACAGTCTCCTACACCTTTCTCACCATAAATCAACAACTAAAGCAGACCAGACTTCCCAAATTGCTGCCAGGCGAAAAAGAACCGAAACTCCATGATAGCAGGCACACAACCCAGCTAGGCCCTGACATATACTGTGACGAGGGAAGAATCAATCCTCCAATATATTATTGCCTGCAAGATTAGGTTAATATGGACGTTAGATGAAGAGTTCAGTCCATTCGGTAAATAAAACAGAAGAAGAATCAAACTGCAAGTGGCTATTGAGCAAATGGCCAAGTTGCATATAATTGCACCATAGGACTTTAATGAATTCAACACAGTTATAATATGAAGCAGCAGGGCCTCAATCAAGAACACTCCAAACCGACCATGATTCATTCAAATCCCTGTTTAGGTTATCCTTTCTGCCAAGCCGAGCAAGGTAATGTGGGTGATGCTCCTCATGCTCTTCATAAGCTGGCTGCATTCTCGAATAAAACATCAGTTTCTTTTGTGACAGATAACCGAGAAATAAGCATGGATCTATTCCAATGATTTCCACCAGAGAAAGTACCATTCATTTCTTACCGCCTCAAAGTATGGGGTCTCGCAGTTAGCTTTTACCAGTCGAGGCTGCCTTGCACATGGCTCATGGAATCGCATTAGCAAGATGCACAAACACGAAACACCAAAGGTGACTCCTGAATTTCCAGAGGAGAAATGGGTCACTCAATTGAAAACTCAAAATGGTTAAATTACCAGCAAAACTTTGACCCTGAACCTTATAATCTAGACAAACATAGTAATCTCAACCATTAAGTTGTATAAGAGGCTTGACGAGCTGTCAAGCCATTATCACTTAAGCATTTAGTAAAATGGAAATCAAATAAAGCACACCTACACAAACCAATCATGCCGAGTTCAGCACCGGTGTCGAACTCGAGTAGGTTGCACAAGCTATCATTGGAAATGAACATTGGCAGATCAATCAACTCTGATGTTCCACAGCTTGTAAGGAATCCAAGTTGAAGATCTACCCAAAAGTCATTTTCAGGCTGACAAACATCCACATCGGAAGCTAAAGCTACTGGAATCAATGATGAAGAGGATGCCGTGGATTGTTGATTGAACTTTGAAGTGAAGACATGGTCTCCACATCAGCATCCTTCGTTGTTATATCAAGAATATGACAAGGGTCTCCAGATGAAGATGATGAGAAACCAGCATCTTCCATGACAGTCAAGAAAGCCCCCTCTTCACCAATCCTGAGCCTTTTACTTTCCTTATTTACAGTCTCACACAACGCACACAACGCCCTTACATCATCAACTCTCAACCTCTTCTTCTCCTTATTTTCTATTTCACACAAGACAAAATCAGAATCAATCCGGCCAGTGAATACTCATGCATTATCCAATGCCCCACAAGAGCTCCCTTCTTTGCCTTTCTTCACCTTGAAAACGAACTGTTTCCTAGTACCAATCTTATTATTCTTCCCATCAAAAATTGGTTCACCTGAAGTGTTACCATGCCATTCTTCAATAGAGGCTGTCCGTGAAACCCTTTTCTTACTTAGCCACTTCAGCTGGGTGAAGACCAAAAACCTGTCTCTTCCTGTATCCTGTTCCGGCATCCCGGTGAAACATCTCCCGCGGAGCCTTGTCACCGTAGAGATCGCAATCGGGAATCACATTGAACGGGAAACCCTCTTCTCTAACTCCCTTCGTCAGGTAATACTCTACGAGCTCTTCTTCGCTAGGGCTAAAGTGATAGACCACCGGCCGAGACAACAAAGGGGCGGGGGCGGCTGCGGAAGCTGTTTCCTCCGCCACACTGGATGGATCGCAGTAAGGGGAAACATCGGTAATCCCGGAGAGAGTGGAAACTGAAGAATCTAGGGTTTCCGGAAACCCTAATTTCTCGAACAACAACAAGTGAAAAGGACGAGATCGATGAATTTCAAATCGGAGAACGCGTCGGAACTAGGGCTTGGCTAAAGTAACGAGAGAATCGAGAAAGCCCTTACGGTGTAACGGTCTCGAAGTGTTGATTCGGAACTCCTAGCGATGAATGCGAATAACCCTTCGACCGGCGAATCGGAGATGGAGAGGACGATTGAAAAACCAAGAGAGCCGTTAGCGCGCGTTCGCTCGTCGCGGGAACTTGCGGCCTTTCTCACTTTGGACTTAGCGAAGCTGTTGAGGAAAGCACATGATTGGAAGACTGTGTTGGGCTGTTTGAGAGCATATGGATAGGCCCGGAGACTTGACGGCTGAAGCACACTGCAGCAGCCCAGGAAGCTTCCTCGAGGCCCAATAATAGAGAAATGATGACCAAAGCCCAATATTCAGCCCAAAGTAAAAACGAAATAAATGTGAGTATGTGACTGGAGCCTCTGTTGCTTTGGGTGTGTGGTTAAAGTGAAACAAATTGGTCATTATAAGTTTGTCCTGATTTAGAAAATGGTCACAGATTTTCATGTGACCGTAAAATTGTTACTTTCTAGTTTCTATTACTAAAAAATTATTTTTTTCGTCAATTTCTGTTTATCTTTTGGTCCGAATGGTATGTCAACTTGTCGATTGTCAAATATCTAATGAAAAATCATGTGTCGGAAAAATATATAAATTATAAAAAAATCATCATATGTACACACCCCCTCATGATTGGAACTATTATAGATATAAAAAAAAAAGGTGAAAAAGGAGAGCCAATGACAAATCATAATAAAAACTAATCAAGAGATATTCTAATAAAGAATAAACTAGTTACGAGACTAAAGGTTGAATAACTGATACTAAATAGAAGATGTAGAGCCAATACAGTCGACTTGGTAAATCATTTAGTATGCCAATACATTACACAGTATATGTAGTAACTTAGCATGACCTCTAATTCATTTTTAACTAAAGTGATTAGCTGATATGATATCACTAAATCAGCATAATAATAATTCGTGGAAAGGGGAAGCAAATGAGCAAACGGCACTTGAATTGAATGGTGTCGATGGTTTCCGGGGCCGCTCGAGTTCCTCGCAGACATTCGCAAGGAAACGAGAGATGAAACGACGTCGAATATGAATGATGATACACATGTCGTACTCTAATATATTCAAGCCGAGAAAGTGACCCTTTTATGTCTCGTTATTATCGTGTCCAACACTGATGGGGTATTAACTCCCTTCCTTTTTACTCACTGGAGTCAGCCAGCCAGCCAGCCAGCCATTATTAATTTGGTTTTGACAGATGAACCTACCCCCTAGCTTTTCACCCGTGGATT